GCGCATTTAATCAGTAAAATCAACTATTTCTTTAAAACTATTGTTATATGTATAATTGACGTTGGCATCAGTTGATTAAAGGTTGTAATATTTTTTCACTATATGTTTAAATATGTTTAAATACGTTTAAATATGTTTAATATGAACCCATACAACACAAATCTTCAAAAGACGTCTTAAAGATATTCTAAGGACATTCATACATCCTAAGAACGTCTTAGAATATTCTCTGAAGATTTTGTGCTATCTGGGAATAAAACAAAGAAATGTTACAGGAGAATGCAGATATGTAATTATTTAATTATATGTCCAACAGTTAGTATGTCAATGCAATGCATATTAATGATATGGTTTTGCATTTTACAATATTTTTAAATTATGCATCTGTCCCGTATCGGTTATTTAATTATCACTTAGGGAACGTTTCAAATTGTGATATACTAGAGATAAATTGGTAAGTAAATTACGAAATACTTTGAGTAGAGTATGTATATATTGTAAGAAGCAAAATTTTAATTTAACATTCCATTTTAAAATACTATACAAACAATATAACTCCAAAGATAAGAATATCTGTAAAATATTAGAGAAAAGAGTAAAATATATATTTTTTAGCTACAGTAATGTTTTTTTTCTGATACATTCTATACATATTTAAACGGTATGAAGTGCTTTATATATTTTATTACTATCGTCATTTCACTGTTATCACAATAGCTTCTGGGTCAGTACTCACATTGTTTGTGTTTTGTTTAAATTGTACTGTTATTTTTTAAATATAGTCAGTTATTAATTAAAGTTTAAAATATTTTGTCTATAAATTTTGTAACGCGTCACTTATCCGATAGAAAAATATATATTTTATTAAGAAATTATTAAAAAGAATTATTAAAAAACAAATTCTTTTTTTACTAAAAGTATGAATTGTGTGTTACGGAACATATTGTAAAAAAATATTACAACCTTTAATCAGCCGACGTCAACGTTAATTATATATTCAGATAACCATTTTTCTTAACATATATCTATTAAAATTATTATGTTATTATTACCTAATTATGCTATAATTATTATCTTATTATTATTACTTGATTTAAATCACAACACGGATAAATTTTTTTCTTTTGTTTTTTGTTTTATAGTTTGTTGTAACTTGTCGCAGAAGTATTTTTCTTTGGCATTTAATTACATAAAGATTTTCTATTTTAAAATAATAATCTCGATATAATATGATAGCATTATCATTGCTTCAATAATTTATTCATATCCAAAAAACAAAATTTATAAGCGATTAATACCATAAAATTACATTATTTTTATAAATGGAAGATTAACGGCGAAATGTATTTCATGCAATTTTGATAATATTATGCTTTCATATTATAAATTATATACGACAAGATAACAGCGCGTGGATTTAGTGTTAGTGATTATTAAATTTTATTTAAATTTAAATTTGGATTTAAAATAAAATAAACAAGAAATAAATTTTATTTTAATTAAGTGTCTTTATACACAGTTGTACGTAAAATATTATAAAGGAAAAAATTATTCATTTCATTATCCAATATGCCTCATAAAATGCTTATATATTTTCATTACGTTTCTTTAATTAAATTATCAAAGTATTGAACATACTAACCAACGAAGTCACAGTAAATGTAAGTTTGTACAGTTATTTCGATTTAAAATATTTGTTTATTCACAATAATTCATAATACATGATCTATTTAATCAGATAAATCCGGTCGTGATTTAGTCGATCATTCTTTTCCAAAAAGAATCTTTGAAGGAAATGTTAAGGAGACATGAGAAAACTTCTTAATAAAATAAGTATGATGTATGGAAGACGTATGAAATGTAACTTTATGTTAAATACAGAATATCGCTTGTGAGCACATTAATGTCGTAGTTACTTCTTTCTCTAGTATGTTATAATATTAGAGATTATATTCCGCGATAATAAATATGTATCTCACAGTAGCGATTGAGCATATATAAGTCAGGATAAGATACATAGTCGTGGATAAGACGGTTTTGTAGGAAGGGGACATTTGTAGGAGGTGCATGTGCAGTATGGTGTAGAGGATACTGCTTAGCGAGAAGCTTGGTATTAAGATCTTCACTGTAGAAGTGCACGTTTCGACATTCAACCAAAGCGGCGAGAAGACTAGAAAGGGTAGAATGGTCTCAAGATCTTTTCTGTGAGCACTCCGGATGCGCATCACGTCAGGATGGCCATCGCCGGTTGGACATAAGATTACGTCCGGTTTGAGCATCCATATCTTGTCCTCCTCGCTATGAATCACCTGTGTGATAAGTAAAATAAAAATTAGACTTGAAGATTGGCTTTTAATCGATTTATATAAGCGACAAAATGGCCTTTAATACAGAAAAAGAACCATCAACTGGATTCTTTTATTACTTCTGCGTATAACAATTTTTTTTATAATAGTTTAAAGGAAAACAACACGGGACAAGAAATTAATTTGAATCAGGCGTGACAGTTTATCTGGAATAAACTAGTTGCCTACTGAAAGTTTTATTACAAATGAAAGAGGTTTTAATTGACTGTACGTTCGCGAAAGCTTTTTATTTCATGTGCAAGCTATTCTATCTCCTATTTTTATTTTATTGCGTACATTACATATGATCGTGTGTCGCGATCGAGAAAGTATCTGTTTTAAGATTAATGTATCTAGAAAGAGATCTATTACAGTCAAATATAATTCACAATTTTTCAAGATCGATTTCATTTGTATCCCCTGTACATTCGCGTGTACGCCGTGTTTTGCGCGGCGTCGAAATACGATAATTAAAAAATAATTCAATTAATTAATTGAAATTAATTTTGATTGAAATTTTACGGAGAAATTACGCTGCGTTTACAATTTTCGAAATAGTGTTGCGATTTAATTACATTTTGGTTGCGGCTGATTATTCGAGAACAGAAGTTTATCAGTGTTAAGCTACAACATTTTCGAATGATAGATATATAATTACTTCTGAAATAATATAAAAATATAATTTTATGTTTTAGAAATGAAGTTATTGTAGCGAGCATTTCTTGCGATGTTTTACTCAGTAATATTTTATCTACGTGTAATTTTATCTACGTGTAATTTTATCTACGTGTAATTATCCACATGTAAATGTATGTGACCACGTAACTTCTTGCATTGTTGTTACTCGTAATGTTGTTAAGTACCGGTAATATACCATTAGGTGATTACTGTAACGTTAACGTTTTCCGTCGCGATTAATCGTGGTTTTCGTAATTTGTGTAGTCTGCGTATCTCCACTCCCGACACTATATTTAAGTGTCCTAAGTATGTCACATGTATTTCGCGTCGAGAGTGTCAAAATTCGATCGGTCGAATATGTTAATTCTATAATTATCACGCCATTAACGAACATCGGGAGTATCGAAACTTGGTCGGGTGAATACGTTAACTCCATAATTATCGCGCTATTAACGAACATCGCGGGATTGCCGAATAAAGTTTCGCGCGGTCGACGAATCTCGCGCATTATTTACCCTTGCAAAGTGATCGCGTCGCGTATTTAAAGAAACGCAGGCAGTGACGAATCGAGTGTCGCGTTAATTGACGCGCGTGATCGTAATTAGTTGTATTTGTCAATTGTTCCGCGGGAAAGAGTTATCTTCCAACGAGTGTAAAATTTGATTGAGCAATGATAGTTTGACGGTGCGACTAATGAATAAATTCTCTCGAGAGACGCGCTCGTTTATTTTTTTATTGTCATTGCATAAATATTAGACATAACACAGAAGGCTCTATTCTATTCGAAATATAATCGTATAAATGTGTTTCATTCATAGGTTCAATTGGCACGCAGTTGCATCCAGTGACTGACAAAGAAATAGGCAGCTGGTGAGTCAGTTTATTTATTATATAAGTAGAATTAGTTGCATGCTATGTGGTACAAAGAATCACTTTATTATTCATCTTCACAAGCATCAACTAGCCTCCTACGGTAGATATGATCAGACTTATGGCTAAATGTAACACAGAACATTGTTTATCGGCTACTACGCGAAAAAAAACGCTATTTAACGTTTGTAACCAATTTCGTTTAACTACAAAATTATCATTAATTTTAAGATCATATCTACACATTTTTACTAAGCGCTCCATTCTGGTGATTATGCAACCGTCCCCAGCGCTTGACGCAAGCAATATAATAAAAAATCCGGTTATTCTTCCACGCTCCGTCGTTATACGTAATCATGTTAAAAAAAAGACACACTCTTCACAACAACTTCTTATTTATATATTAGCACGTAATTGATTCTTCGTATATATCTCATTATGCTATTATAGGTCATTATGTTATTATGATTCTCTCGATAACAATGTCAAAGGTAGGCCTGTTATGATCTTATATATAGTATCTTGTGCAGTTCACAGAGTCGCGGTTCTCGTTTTATTTATTTACATTCGATGGCGACAAATACAACGACAGGTAGGTGGAGCGACGAACAGGCGCGCGTAATTATCGGAATATTCGCGAGTTTTACCTGTCTCTTCATTCGAATTTGCCCGGTGAACCAGGTCAGCGACATCATCTTCAGCACGAGCACGCACGACCACCAAGCGTATATAGCCCATAGCTCGTCTTTCGCCTCGTTTGCAGACGCGTTCGCCAGCATTGTCTCGCGACCTTATCTGCTTAACGTTCCCTTCGCGTCCGCAGGGAGAGCCGGTACGCTACTGGCTATGTACTCACCGGTAACGTGGTATCCGTGATCTTGTCTGAACCGGCAGAGATCTCATTAGCAAGTCAAATGCAGGAACGGGCGATAGGTAATCCGATGCGCGGGAAAGGTGAGCGGGAAAGTTTAAACGCGGCCACTCGCGTCGCGAAATGTGTCTTGCCTCGAATGTAGACAGCAAACGTACGCGGGGAACGGTTGCATCAGAATGGAAAAATCCCGCATGAGCAATCCCGCATGATCACACGGTCGCTTAAATTATATGTATAGTATGTGTACATGTACCGATCTAAAATTATTATCAAGCTTTTTATTTCGCTTATAGCTATAAAAGTGCTTTGATAACCATATTTTATAAAACCCCTTGTTTTTTTTAATTTTTTCCTTAATAAAAATTGTCGCGGTTCATATATACCGCAATTGAGCAATGCAACATTGAGAGCGAAGAGGGACGATAGCTTTTCATAGGAAATAAATTGAAAGATTAAAATACTCTCATCGACGCAAACATACATAGCTCGTACGAGTAAAAAGTTTAAAACAAATTCGAAGTGATGTGAGCGTTACATGAAAATAGCTGTCGTTATTAATACTAACTCGTGAAATGCACCATTCGCTAACTGATGTATGCACGTGTTCATACGAGTGAATTCTGTGAACAAAGACTCGTGAGATTTTTATTCGCAAAGTCAATAGAGCTTACGTTGTAGAGTGCAAGTATTCGTAAACTTGTCGAAGTTCGCGTCGTAATTTGCCGTTAACATTCTTCATTAGTTAGTAGGTTGTATTATTGTTTGTTAGTACTTCTTTTTTCTCTCTTCGCAACATAGTATCATATAATAGATAAATGAGTTTTCGTTCCTCTGTCTTTCCCTTATAAATTTCGTACAATCATCAATAATCGTATAAATCGTTGATTTTTATGCGCGACATATCTGTTCCGACGTAATTTATACAGGTTTATTGGGAGCAATTGTTTTCGAGACGAATCTTTCTTGCTATTTTCGTGCTACAAACGCCATTGCGCAATGTTGCTCTTTTTTATGTTCGATTGTATCGAGACATCGATCAGGTTATTGCCAAGGAAAAAGTCTGTAGCGACGATGTTCGTCTCCTTCCACCAGTTCGTTTGAAACTTGATAGTGAGGTTTCGGTTAACGGAATCAGCCATCTGCCGAAGTCCGTTAGATATATTAAAGAGTACATCCAGCGGAAACGGCGTCAATTCTGCCATCACCGCCCACAGTGGATTCTGACTATTCCTAGGCGTTTTTGGCTCCAGAATTACTTTGTTCAAGTACTTGAACAGACCCTCCACGGTTTGTTGATTGCCCCATACTTGCGTCAAGGGCGGCCACAGCCAGTCGTATTCTAAATTAAAGAGGATTGAGTGCGGTCGTACGATTGATGGTTACAAACGATTGAAAGATAAATGGTCTAACGCATTAAACTTGCGCGCTAAAAATTCATCAAAAACTTATTCGATCTAGATTAACTTTAGTCTTGATAGTTTTTATTTTCGATACTTCACGCGGAAAGATAATTAAATTTGTTTAAATAATTCTTTAAAATTGTTTAACCAAATTCTCACTTTTGTTAACCAGCAATTAAAGAAGTACTTCTTAGCTGTTCTTTGATATTGAGAAATGAAGCGTAGAAAGTCTTCTTACCATTTACTGTGTGCTTGTCGCCGTAGCAAATAATTAATCTCTTCCCGGTGCTCCAGATGTCATTTAATGTTGGCCCCAGACCGTCGATTCCTATGTCTGGTTTTAAAATCCAACCTTCGAATTCTCGATATAAAATAGATGCCAGTTTTCGATGTCTATTTAGCTTACCTTCCAAGCCCACGGGAAACCTGTGATTGTTAGAAATTATAATTTCTAACGTGTGTTATTTGTCTCACACAGAGATTCTTGTATTATTCTGTATTATTCTTGTATTATTCTTGTATGATTCTTGTATTATTCTCACACAGAGAACTTGTATTATTCTGGATATTTATTAACAAATTTCATCAAAGCTAAAACGTTATCATGACAAATCGCGTCTAATAACATAAAAAAAAGATACTTTTTCTATTTATTAACTTTTCTCTATTTACTTTTCTTTTATTTTTTTCACATTGAATCATATTAGAAGCTAGTTGGGGCTGGACGGCAGCTTAATTAACATTATATACAGAAAAAGTTATTACAACAACCCTCTATTAATATAGTTTTTTAAACGATCGTTTGTTTGACTGAATCGTAGAGCCAATAAAGCGAGTTATATTAAACGAACGCGGCGACCACTCATGTATGTTCATTGAAAGTTTTACGATGTGTGTGTATATGTGTATACGTATGTGCGGATACGACGAATCTCGTAAAATCCGTGCGACTTACCTATGAAAATCCATAACGACGACTTCGCCCCTCGTCACGTCCAGGAAGTTCCTCACATCTCTTATAATGTCTGAAAGAGGTGTGATGCGAACGATGTCGTGGTTGATCCAGAATCTACTCATATGGTCGCCCTCCTCGTCAAGAGCGGTGCCGTTCGGTATCGACGGGTAATATCCAACCCTGATATCCAGATACCTTATGCCGTGCACCAACTGCGTCCATACGTCGCGATCTTGCGTCAGCAAATACCGCTGAAGGGAATCCTTTCGCGTCAGGTCACCGTGCTTGTAACAGCCGGAATTGTGTGTCCCGGGTATCATCAGGCTGCCGATAGGAAGCCTGCCGAGTTGTCTCCTTCGACAAAATAACGAAATATTTTTGCCGCATTAATCAAACTTAATTGCCACAAAATAAATCACGCACCATTACTGTCGATCGACAAATTAGTATAACGATGAAAAAAGATCACGGAGTAACATTTCCGTCCTCCGTGTAGAAAATTGATACTTGTAATCGATTCTTTCTTGACTCTCCTCAAATTTGCATAAATATCATATAATAATTTTTCCAAGCTTTATGTTTTGTTTTTATGAACAGATTTATAAGCATCTATCATTTCCATATCGTATATACCCGCTCTTTCACATTAAATTATTTTCTAAACTTAAAGAAGGTAGCGTGCGAAATAACAATAAACAGTAAGGGACTAGTAATCTTCAAAAATATATGTTAGAAAACATGATACCTCAAATCGTACATCCACGTCGGCCAAATTTGCAAACAAGCATTGGCGTACATGATACCGTCTTTATAAAGTGCTGCATGGTGCTTGAAGCAATGAGATCCCGAAAGAGTTGCCCCATCCTTTGTGTCCCATCCTCCTGGTAGTGGCGGACGACCGACTGTGATATTTGTCCTGTAATATCCACGGGGATGTTGCAAGGAAGTTAAGATCAATTTAGGCTTCAACGTTTTGTCTGAAAAAAATAAGATTCGTGGTTGCATCCGCAAGTTTTTCAATGTCCGGAATTCGATGGGTGGAAAAGTGAGGAAAAAGTGATTGAAAGGCTCGCGTTCGGTTTCGCGACGATTCATTCTATAAGATAAATCGGATTGGAAGCGATTCAAAACTATCGAGAGATCCATTCCGAGCGGATCAGTATTTTCAAATTGAACGCGATAGGTGGAAGAGACTTAGCGACCAGCGCTTAGCGAAGTTTTAATGACGGGCTCGAAGCGTTTTAACGCGCATAAGCTGGCGATTTGTATTTAAGCAATCAGCGAAATACGAGAGAGAAATGAGATTAGTAATTTGTCGAGAGAATACTGTATGCTTCATAAATAGTACGTAACATTCTTTTAGATAAAAAAGGCAGCATTTTGATCCGCGATAAACCTGGATTCTTAAGCTTAATCTACAATGTGTTTTTTGCTTCCTGTCTTTTTCTCTTTATCTCTGTTGTTGTTGATAAGCTGTGGTCGTGGATCTAGTCCGTTGACTACTAAAATTCTTTATTTTCCTGACTCTCTTTCTGATTAAAAGCCTTGAGACTAGAAAAAACTAGAAAATCAGAAAAAACAGATAATAAGAAACAGGAAGGAAAGAGCACATTGTAGATTAAGCTTTAACTATTTAAGTGGTAATGATGTATATATGCGTGGAAATTTTTTGTGACAAAATTGGTAATGACGCATATGTGCGCACATTGAATAACTTTTCCAATTTTCATTGGATTTGGAAAAAAATTGGTACTCTTAAGTATTTTGAGGCGCTGAATAAGAATCTGAGCTTAAAAACTTAAAATTTTTATTTTATATCCTCTTCAGAAGAGTTAATATATTAAGCGTTAGTAAGGTTGCAATATCGATCCGTAAATTAGTAATTAATCTTTAAAATCTCTTAAAAATTACTCTCAAATATAACAGATGAATATAAAATTACGAAAATTCTCACCTCTTTAACCTCCATTTTCACCTTTTTGAGGTGTAGTAATATAAAAAACATATAATTTGCGTAAAAAGAGAGAGTGAACTGAAAGTTCCTTATAAAATCACTATAAAATGAATATCAATATGGATATCAAATATTGCAAGTTTTTATCCTCAATCCTTATTTTTCTCCCCTTCAAAGAGATTATATAATCAAAATAACTTAAAGAATAGAAGAAATTGTAAAATTATCATAAAATCATTCTTATATTATAGAATATAAATATTAAATTTTGCAAATTTTTATCTCCAATTCTTAGTTTTCACTCTTTTGAAGGGGTTGTACATTAAAAATAATAGCAAATATGAAAAAAGCGACCCCAGAAACGGGTATAAACCTAGTATTACCAATTTTCGATAAAAAATCGATCGTACTACTTTTGGCATTAAAAACGATCTTACCACTTAAGTGGTTAATAATAGTAAACATCATGCAAGAGAAGCAAACAAAACTTATTACTATGTGCTGGGTCAGCAGTGAACACCTTGATGGTATCTGGGTATCCCGCTTCCTCCGGACAATCTAGTTCCCAATTTACTTCCAATTCGGTATCGACCATTTTGTCATAGCTAGGGATTGGTCTCCACAAAGAGGAAACCGTGAGCCATACTTTTCCGCAATGCGCTGCCAATGCTAAAAGTATGATAAATTGAGTAACATTACGCGAAGGAAGAATGAATTATGTCTCTCACGAAAAAAAGATTAGTCGATCGTATCTTTCAACAAATTTTGTATTAGATTTCATTGAATTATGTATGATTCCAATAAAACCAGCTCTAGTTCATTCTTATGGCTAATATAACAATTTCATTAAATTTTTCATTAAATTAAGTAATAGGTAAAACGTATTATACATAGCATATATAGCATAAATTCATGGGAAAATATTTAATAAAATATTTTAAAATGAAGAGAACAAAATACAAACTGAAAATGTAAAACAATACGGAGATTATACGGAAATATCTTCTATATTTTTTACACGTTTAATATTCAAAAAAAAATTAACGCAATAAAGTTAATTAATATGAAAAAAAATGTATTTTTCCATTTATATATTCATAATACAACAATTTCAATTATGTATATATATATGTAAGTTTTTTTAAAATTTTTATTTAAAAATATTTGTGCTAGAAATACGTATAATTTTATATTTTCAGTAAATAAAAATATCGTAATGTAGAAAATTATGTAAATGCAATAATTAGTTTGTACACTTACCAATGTCGCAGAAGACGTAGAGAAGCAGCAGAACAATTGCTCTCAACATGATTGAAGCGAGGGGTTTCGATCAAAATTATCTCAAGATCCGATTGCGATATCAGCAATTATTGTGCATTAGTGTTCCAACCAGACAGATCTCTTCGAGCATAACGACAGGAGAACTTCCACGGTGTCTGTATGACACTTGCGATTAATTCACGCACAGCACCGCCGTATAACAAGCTTCGTTAAAATGACGATAGATAATTGTTCACTATTGGCAAATAAAGAGCCTGTTCAAAACTGAATATATCAGAAACAATGGAAAAAACAAAGTCTCGGAAAGTACACCGAACTTCGCTTCTTGCCTTCGCACGTTTAGGTCGTTGAATTTAAAGCAGCTCTGATCTGATTCGATGGGTCCCGTCGACGAATTTGTCTATGTCATCGATAATATCGCCGTGTTCCGTATTCTCCCTCCGCTATCTTCGCGAGCGAGAAAAATTACCTTGTACACGAGATCGAACGCGCGCGATCTCGTTGCTGATCCTGCTTCGACCTCCGTGCGCTCGACAGCGACGATCGGTTCTTTCGATTGGCCACGCACTTCCGTCACACGCGAGAGAACCTGTCGATCGGATCAAACATTATCGTCCATCGGGAAAGCCCCGGGTTCGCGGGATGGAAATCGTGCGGGAAACGAGTACAAGCGTTCTACCGACGGTGGTGGTTCTCCACTGACAGATCAGTGACTGAACGATGGACAGTCGAACGAGCGACCGGTAACCGGAGCAGTTTAATATAGAACCCGCTTATAGGACATTCAAGTACATTGTGCCATCCTTCCATCACTTCCTCGGGTACGTCAATTGCCCAATAGGAGGGACCAGAACGCTTATTCCTTCCCTCTTCACCGCGTTCCTACATCTCTACTCTTGTCCCTCGTTATCACTGGCTCTCTCTCTCTCTCTCTCTTTCTCTCTCTCTCTCTCTCTTGCTCTCGCTCTCGCTCTCGTCGTCCTATCGACTACCTACAGTTGGGGTCAGGCCCGCAGCTGACCTGTCTAGCATTAAATACCATTTCCTGCGTATACGCTGCGGAATATATAGTTTCGAGGGAGAAGCGGCGATGGATGCGGGCCGACCGGTCGGTCAGTTGGGAGGACGGATTCAGACTCTACATTGAATTATCTCCCTCGTGCATCGCGCGCTAGGGACACCGTGTCAGGAGGGACGCGTCGTGAGAGCAAACAAGCTAATCGTTACGTACAGGTAGCGGCCGATTTATCGATGACGTTTCAGAGTGTTTTATGACAATTCCGAATGGCGCGTCGTTTCGTCAGGGATAGGTCGATCGTGAATACGCTGCAAATCGCATTCGCCTGTCGGTCACGCGCGCGCAATAAATGTTCTCGTAAACTTATCGTCGAGCGTGGCAAAATGGGAATTCTTCCACAAGATCTTTTACACGAAAAAGTACTTAGACATTTATATAGATACTTGAATATATATTTATGAGCGAGAATATATATTTTCACGTGTCTTGATATATATTTATAAGTAATTTATTAAGTCCGTATCTCCGCTGAGAGATGGTTTGTGTAGGCGACGCTAATAAATAAATAACTGACTATTGTAAAGTCTCTGTGGTGTACAACAGATATACAATTTATTTACAATGTCATGCTCTTTTAGAAGATAACAGTATGTATTACGGTATACGGTGGATGCAAGTGGAAGCCTTGTAATATGGTATACCCATGATTATTATTCTGATCGTATACAGGATCATAATTTACGGAAATAAATTAAATCCCAAAATAAAGTTCTTTCGGATATCAGTGCGCGTTATACATGTATGCGCACGCGACTAAAAATACGTTCCGCTGCAATCACGGTTTCTACGCTACGTTAAATAAATAAACATTACGTTGGCAGCTATATTACAGAGTTCGAGACACATAGGTACAATATATATTTTTACGCGCGTGAACTTATAGTAACTGTTCTTATCATGATGCTCTAAGTTGACGATTATAGTACATGAAGGACGTTAATACGATTTGATTCATTGAGGTAGATAATTTAATCAGTCTATGAAGCTGCTTCGTCGGTCGGTTGGCCGTTGTGGCAAACCTCCGTTCCGACGTTACGTAAAACGAGAAAAAAGAGAGAAAATAAGATAAAATCAGTCCCGTTTGCCATTGGAAGATCCTTTATGCAGTCTTTCGTGCGTGTTACGCAGATTCTTAAAATGATACGGCGAACTGAATTCGCGCGATCGATCTACTTGCGCGACGAGAATAAAGTGAAATACACTGACGGGAAATACGTTCCAAGGGAAGGATCTTTTGACAGAGGACAATGAGAGGACGATCGAAATGAAAAGCATTGCATTCGAACAGGTACGAAGTTGAGAAGGTTCTGTTGAGACGGCGCTCTCTCCCGCCCGATGATTTCGGCCGTGAAATCGCGCCGGGGACATCGAATTAATTCGTTTAACATAGTTATATACTCGGTTATTTCGCCTACGGACTATAATAAATTAAGGAATACTCGTGCAGTCGTACAGTTACAATAAAATATACACTTTCTGCATGCCAGAACTCTCATCTTCCTCGCTCCTCGGCGCAAACGCCAATCGAAATTTCCGCTTCTTATTTGAGGAACGAATTCTGTAAACGCACCAGGTCTCTCTATGAAGTTATGTACACTCATTTTGGTAAAACGTAGTCGCGTAATGCGTCTCTGTTTCAAACGTGCCAACTTTGCTCGTTTAATGCTACTTGGTGCACGGAAGAAGATACCTCTTTTTTCCGTGAGTGTAATCAAGTTATCGGCAGTCACTCGGCGGTCTCTCCGCGTTAAGCTTCAAAGAAATGCTCTACGTTCCTCCGAGCTATAGCTAAAGAACTAATAATTAATCAGACCGATTATCGAGATACCTTAATTCGTATCGCAGAGTTCATACTGCGAACATTTTCCTTTATTCTTAAAAAGTATCGAAGAATCGTTAGAACACGACATAATTCGCTTTGTTAATTTCTCTACATGTACAGAGTGTCCCGGTCACTACCGCATTATCTCTTAAGGGCGGATTCCTGAGGTAATTTGAATAAAAAAATCCTAATACAAAAATGGCGAGGTTATAATATTTTTCAAATTATAAACGATTAAAGTTAACCAATTATATTCGCTAAAGTACGCGCGCTCAGATACGGTACAACACACAATGGTACAGGTGTATGTATATGTCGTCCCTTTTCCAAGTATTGATACGGAAGTTCTGTACATACAACAATATATGTAATAATAATCTGCCTTTTCTATCATTTAAATAAACATATCGCAAATAATAACAATTTCGTCAAAATGTCATGAATAAAATATCTCACACACAATACATTTATGAAAATCAGTAAGCTGTCACACATTTGACGTTCCTTTCAGGGATTTACAACTAATTTCATATCTTATGCAAATTCTCATTTATATGCATGCACCTGTACCATTGTGTGTTGTACCGTGCCTGAGCGCGTGTACTTTAGCCAATATATATAATTGGTCAACTTTAATCGTTTATTTTATTTTATTTATAATTTGAAAAGTATTATAGCCTTGACATTTTTGCATTAGGATTTTTTTCTTCAAATTACCTCAGGAATCCGTCCTTAAAAAATAATGCGGTAGGGGCGGGACACTCTGTATATATGTCTGTTTGACTTATTTGTTATATCTTTTTTTGCTCTCTCAGACGAGTTTTTTGATTACTAACACTAGCGGTGTAATATATATACCTTGCTGAATGTAAGTACTGCAATACTATAATAACACGCCGATACGAAGTATTCACGTCACCTCAGACATTGTACATAAATATCGAAATTGTACGTAAATATCGAGCTCTGACTTCGCGGAAGTGCCATCGGAGATATTGGTACAGCGAGCAGGGAAATCTTTCGTGGCAGAATACTCTTCGCTAGTTCGCGCGTTGTGTCAGAAGATTCAGCAACTCCTCGTGATCCATGCTATTCAGAGTATGTATATCGATACCTAGAGCATTTGCGACGCTTTTCATATCCAGGCCGAAGCTCTTGAGCAGTTCGATAAAGTCCATTTCCTCGCCTGTGTAGGGATTATGAAGCTTGGGACAGCTATGGTTACATTGCGGCCAAGTACAGCGCTCGATCAAACGGAAATGGCAACCCTGGACGCACTTCCGTTTGCCCGACGGTACTACCGATCGTTGTGGCCTGGTGCCGTTAAACATCGCTGTGTAGTTGTTGCCGTTATTCTGTTTGCCGCCTTTGCGGCGTCCTGAAAAGATTTTCATGAGATCGTTTGAATGATAGTCGTACTGGGCCTTGCAATCGGTCCTACAAGAATCTACAAAGGATTGTCCTACAAAACAAAAAGAAAAACAAATTGTTCGTTTAGCGGAGGGAATTTTTAGAGGGGTTTTTATCGTAATGTAATAATGATAATAACAGCAATAAATCGCCCTGCCAAACGAGCCTTCGACCAATTCATGCATGAAATAGCGTCGAACGATCCGTTCTCTCTTGCCGAACAAGATTCAAAACATGTTTGCGCATTGCTCTACCGTACCGGCGGCTTTTCTTCGCTCATGCTTCTCTTTCTTCATTCCCCGCTCCGCCTTGTTTCTCTCCCTCCTTTTGCCTTTGTTTTTCCTCCTTCCCCTGTTCTTGTTCTCCCGCTCTTGAATCGAGTCGGAGGCCATCTTCCTCTTCTGCGTTTTGCCAGGGACGGCCGATCGAGCTTTTTGCGCTTCCGTGGAAGATTTAGCGTTCCTTCTTCTACTTTCGACCGAGGTGCCATTTCCTTTTCTAGCACCGGAACGTAGCAGCTTCCTTAGCGACTTGGCGCACGGTTGATTGGTCTCGATTTGCGAGCGAGTAGTGCTGCGGAACGGAAAATGTTATTCTCTCCTCCGTCTTGGTTCCGTTGATTTCTTTATCACAGTGAGCTCTCTCGATGTAACTGGCTCGACAAATATTTTCTCTCGGTGAACAACGTAACGTCGGTCTCGTTTTCGCTCGGCGACCGTGTCACCGCGAATCCTGATCGGCTACTTACTTGTTGCGCTGATTCCCGACCGGCATCTGCTCCCAACAATGCAACGCCTGCGGCAAGGATACGCCGTCTATTTTAACCATGTTCCAGTCTTTCTTCGTCAGGACGCTGTGACTGATGCAGCTGGGGGCGAAGACCGCGGTAACGTTTATCAATGTACGCCGCATACTGTCGCCCATTTTATGTATGTAATCCCATTGTTGTTTTGTCACCGGTGAGCCCACGTTATCGACTGACATTTGGGCCTCGTCGAATAGCCATTGGAACACGAATAATGGTGCTAGGATAATAAACGAAGGCTTAAACATTTTTGCTCTGGCGCGTCGGTTCTCACGAAAATCTCTACGGTATCAGCTGGACTCACCGGACAAGGTCGGATAAAGTCGATAACCGAAGAAACACCTCCACGGTTCGATAGGGTATTTGGCGACGCAGTTATGAGGCATCCGGGACTTCCACAGGTCCATTCCCTTATGTATCGCGCCGATGGACGCCGGGCCGTTTGGAGAGTAAGGTACTCTGTCGAGGAACCATCCGGAATCTGACACACCGCGTACATCGACGTGCTTCAAGCCTGCGCGAATAGACATATCCTGTCATTTTCCAATCACGTGGCAACCGTTAGCAACTGAGGGATACTTCAAGTATTCGTTCTCTCTTCGACTTATTATAATAAATACAATAATTAAAAAGTATTATATATTTATTATAATACATCAAAATCTCAAATTTAGGAAGGGACTGAACTTGGAAATATCCGGGTTGATAATTCTTCGATACTTTAACTGACCATTTCCCTCGTTTAATGCTAAACTAATTTTTATGTGGCTACCGTAGAGTTAGTATAAATAAATTTACAAATGAGGCGATATAAAATTTTGCGACCTTCAAGCAACGTTATTATGAAATGATTCCTCCCTCTAGTGCACACAATAATGACTATTATTATTGACGCTGGCAAGTGTGACGTAAATCGCGGATTGACGAACGGCCAAACATTTGTTACTCGGTGGGAAAATAGTGAAAATTAACGGCGACAACCGTTTGATCGGCGGTAATTTTGATTGATGAATCGCTCACGACGTGACGTACCCAATTCATGATGTACCAGATTGTGAATACGATCCAAATTCAGCATGACACCCGTGCCGCCCGCGCTGCTGCCAGCCAGCAATAAGGAACGTGCACCTTCGAGACCGAGGGGCATCAAGTCCCGGACAACTTGGATCAGCACCTCTGCGCCCAAGAACGAGAACATGCCTTCCGGCGTGGCTCTGGTACCGCTCCAGCTGTCGCTCGTGCAGTACGGAACGAAACTGCGAACGACAAAAACCTCAACGTTAAAGAAAAGATTTGGCAATGAGACGATCAAGACGAACAGTCAAGATCGATGAGCAATACCTACACGTGATTCGCATTGTGCCAGAACGGATTCTCGTCTTGATTCGGAGAGAGCAATCCACCCACTGAAAGAGAATTATAAACATTTTTATTTCGACATTAGTAACAGTCTACTAATTGCTAAAATTACTTCAGTACTAATTAATACTACGTAGATTAACTTAAAATCATACACGTTTATATAGACATCATGAGAGCGCACTGAGAAAAATATCTGAAAATTTATTTGTGAAATATAAATTTATTTCTACGAAATTTATTTTTCTATGAGTAATTTATATCTCACAAAGACATTTCCAAGTATTTTTTATCAATATGAATGTAAAAAATAGTGTTACTTTTGAATGAAAAAGTATAGATTCGAAAATTTTGCTTAGGTTCTGGGAATTTCATTTAATTTCATCGTAAAAATATTGAATGCTGAAAATTTTAAATAGATGTAGCGGGCATCCACGCGACTTTTGCTAAGAATGAATCAATTCCAAATTCATCGTAGCACTTACCGCTAGAAGGATATATACGAGGTTCGTATACGTATGTAACCTCGAGTGCTAATATTACAAGCCGGAGATATTCAAAAGATACAGCTGAGGCGAGAAAGAAACCATTATTTATGTCATCGTCGCGATAATTATTATCCGTGTATGGTAGAGCGCGCAATTACGCATTCAACCGCGTGTCGTACGACGTGCATTATTGAACCTTCTAAGGAAATGTGAACGCATTTAAGAATGCGCGCGCCCGTGGAGACCTCGAAATTAATTTACGACGCGGCGCTCGCTCGCTCGCTTGCGCTCAGGGATGCACGAGCGGAAAATCGTTTCCGCTCCGCGCGACGTATAATTAGCGATGGAGAGCTCTCACCGTCGCGTGTGTCGGGCCACTGGGTTGACGTCATCAGATGCCGCAGCCGTAGCCACCTGTTCCTACAGCTAGTGTGGTCGTAGCAATACCAGCCGCCCTCCAGGTATACGATCCACTGTTTGGAAGACTGAGACTTTCGTAGGTAGAAACCTGCCTGCGATCCATCGTTGCAAGTGATCGACCTGTTGCTCAGATACACTCTCTTCAGGCTCCTCGGGTCATCAGACCCATACTTCCCCAAGAGCCTGAGCAGCCTCTGTAACGCGTGGCTCTGGAGTGGCGGCGAATCCGAAGAGAACCAGACCGTGTTCGTCGGCGTGTCCTCGGCAATTGTCAGGATCACGGCCGCCAAGCACAGAGCGATCTGGAATACACACAAAGCCCCGTTATGATTAGTTATTTCATCTCGATACACCTCATTCACCTCCCCTGCTTCTCTATCGAACATTTTAGTCAATCAATCTTTCTCATAGCGAGTGAATTAATGGGATCACCCTCCTAAAACCAATACAGCATAAGGCAATTTTCTGATTGAACAATTCTTCAATGCTTGTTATCAGGTCTTTAATAATATCGTCTGTGCGATGATAAATCATGGTAGTCTTCTTGAGATCTCGACTCATCTAAGATTCAAAGGATCCAGATGACGTTTGTCGTCAAAAGAATGAATTTTAAATCAGCTAATTTTTTTTCTCGTTTGCGCGGAGAGTACAATCTCTGAACCAATACAGTAGGGCAATTTTCTTCGAAATATCTCGAGTCGACTCACCTAAGATTCAAAGGATCCATACGACGGTCGTCGTCAAAAGAATGTATTTTAAATCAGCTAGCTTTTTTATCTCGTTTGCGCGAAGAGTGCAATCTCGTTCGCTCGATCGTGAGAGATCGCCGCATGATAATCAAATATCGTTCGACTTAATTCGAACATTATCGCAGATTCCTCCGGTAACCAAAGCGACGCGGCGGCTCTCGGTTCTCGCGCAGGATTTCTCCGCGTTCTTTTTTCGGTGATTTTTACACGAGCGTATCGTTGATCAGGCCGGTGCATCGGGCCACGTAACAAACGAGCAACCGCGGGAATAATTTAAAAAACGACGCCGACGACGACGCCGAGCTCCACGGCGCCACTCTCCTTCTCTCTATCTTACACCCGCCTGCAGTCTCTGTCGGTGTTCTTGGCGCGTTTTACCGCAACAACGTTCCTCCCTTCTTCGTCCCGGCCTCCTGCCCCTCTTTCACGAAAGCGACTACTTAGGATCAAGTTCCAGCTTCCAGGACGGTAGCCGGCGGCGGAAACACCTCGGAAACAGAAGCTCGGTCTTGGTCTCGGGTCGAGATGAAAGGCCGCCGCCAACACTGTGGATGGTAGGAAGGAGAAACGTTGTTGCGACGCAATTATGATCGGGCATAATGGGCCGCAAACGGCGGATTGGGTTCCGCTCCGTACCGAGCAACGGAAGCAAAAAGGAGAGGCTCACTTCTCGCTGTTTCCCCCTCGCGTCGTTGCCGCGAAAGGAACGCGCCGCGACGTCGCGATTTAGCCGTGACCGCTCCGATCGCCGGCTCGTATTTTCTCGCGGCTAACGCTAAACGCAACTTCACACAACTTGGGGTGTACTGATATGTCACACATCGTAGTCCACGAAACTAACAGCCGTCACACGTCTCAACGGATGTGTAATTATATTTGGAGCATTGCAGATGTTAAATCTCCTACATGCATAAAAATTATTATCATTCAGATACTTCGTATAATTAATGAATATGCAAGACAACAAATTTTTTGTCTCTTCATAATCTCTTTTTTATATATATATATTTTTTTTTCATTAGCGTTATGCATGGAAATATACACGGAATGTCTGACGCAACGCTCGTGTGCGAGTAGAGAACTCATGAAATTGAACAAAACATTTCTTTATCATTTTGCAATCACGATAATTATTTCTTTACATTAATTCACAGTAACGATATTAATCTCGTCACTGCTAAAATAGACGAGACGAAAAAAGAAATCTGAACCATTCGATTACAAATGAAAAAAGTTATATGTTGCTTGTGTTACATTTGTTGTGCTCTAATCAACCACTCGACTCATTCTAGATGGATATCGAAAGAACGTATAAATGCGTGCTGAAGAAATTACTTTTTATTTCATATCGCTTCGTAGATTTATTTGCAAGTTATCGCCGTTTAAAGCCGCGGCACCAACGTGCGTTTGTGGCTTCAAGTAGATCCTACCAGACTTCTATATAACTACTAGACTGCTAACTCTTATATAGTGCTATGTAAAATTGATCCCGAACAGTATGTATTACGTACGGGAAAAAAGGCATCTGCGCATGCCTGAAACTAGTGTTCCAGAAGAGGGGATATAAATGTAATATGGCCGATGTGCCGCCTGCTTAAATATTTGTGTACGTACAGAGTGAAAAACATCAGAGTGAAATACGTTACAGTAAAAAATTTGCAAAAATAAATGATTGATCAATTGTATATCTATATCAGAGTGCAATAATGCCTAAAACGAGATGTTAGATGCCTAAACGAGATTGTGAATGTCGGAACACCAAATAGGCGCATGCGCGAAATTACTGTACATACTTTTCGGGGACATGTACTGAGTCGTAGTTAGCAGTCTTAGGGTGCCGTCCCATTGAGCACGGATCGGATTTCTTACTATAATGAACGTTCCGTTCTCTAGTTCCGTTCCGTAAAAGTTTCCTCTACCAGTCCCATGTAGCAAAAACGGAACGGATTTCTAGTTATAAAATATATTTCACTCTTCAATTAAATATTTCAGAATATTCATGACAATGTTATCGGCAAGATAATTGCATAAATTATGTATATAATTAATTCTGTCGCGTCAAAATAACGAAATATTGACGAATTAATCATATTTATTTGCGACTGACGCGCCATTCCGTTCCGTTTTTGCTACATGGGACTGGTAGAGGAAACTTTTACGGAACGGAACTAGAGAACGGAACGCTCATTATAGTAAGAAATCCGATCCGTGCTCAATGGGACGGCACCCTTATAGTTAGTAGTATATAAAGGTCTGTGGATCCTACTTTATGTTTCATGCTCTCTCCTAAAGGTGAACGACCGCGTGACTGCAGTCAGCACGTGAGCGGAGCAATTACCATGCTTATTTGAGTTATGGAGTGGGGGTAACAAGATCTGCGTACCGCGTGCCGCCGCGTACACTATACACCGTATAGCGTGATGACTTTCTGTAAACAATAGTCGCGCTCCGCATTCCATTCACGCGTCGCGTCGTCACCTGCTCGCAGCTCGCTGCAGCGATAACGCCGGCCGATTGGGAACGCCGATCGATACAAACGTCAATAACTCCACTTGTAAATGTCGTAGCGGCTCGAAACAAAGACCATTACAAAGGGAAAACTACCGCGCCGTCGATGGACGTGAAATCGTCATTCCGTGGAATAGTCAAACAGCGTAATCATGTAAGTACTGAAGATATCTGTTTTTGACTGCGTTAAAGTGAATATTAATTTAGATTAAAAACTAATGGGAAGCCTTGGCTCGAATTTGTAACGTAAAACATTAGTTTTATGTTTTTGTCGTGTTTAAAGTACAATTCAAAAAAATGGCAAAATGATAATGAGATTGCAATGCATACATACACACAGCTGCGAATATTTTTTTGCTGTAATATCAAAGCTCAAAAGCTAATAAATTTTGCTTCGTTAGCAACGACATTAGCTATCAATGATACACCGTAGATGCTATACTTATATTTTAGTTTTTGTGGCTAATCCTCTTCCTGCGTATAGGGCTAATTATAAATTTAACGTTTTACTCGTAATGTGGTGACAATTTTCGCATTATTTCCTTAGACGCCGACCGGTTTAAAAATTATTTCCTTATTTTAGGAAGGAGTTAGGAAGGAGGCTCGCTTTTGCGAGCCGACAAAATGTTTTTCAAATAAAATAGTCTCGGTTTTCACACTGATCTATAGAAAATCACTAGAGAACTTTAACTTGATTGTTCGAACTATCGATGTGACACCATATTACGATTATCTAAAAAAAAAAATAAAATAAAAGAGAACGAATAGGAAACGGGAAATTTCACGGTTCGTCAACGCTAAGGCAGTGCAGAGCAAACTCAGAGAGGTTACCGTCAAACTTAAAGCTGAGTCGAAAGTATATCCCTTCGTGTACCTTTTTCGACACTGCAGATTATAGGAAAGCGACATTGCAACGACGATTTCGAGAATCCACATCGAAACGAAACTTTCGAGAAGATCGTAAATAAAGGTGACGACTTGGACTCGGGGAACTTCCACTTCCACTTTGCGTAACCGTTTTATTATGTCGTAAATCAATTCATTAGGGTAGTGTGAGTTGCCGAGGGGTGCTTTTGTGTCACGCCCTGACCGCAAAGGTGCCACTATCAAGAAAAGGAAAAGAATCGAAAAGTCGGCTTGCACTAGAAAATATATTACACGATAGTAGTATCCTTTGACGCGAATGTTTAATTTTCGAACAGTTTTGTGTCGCGCTTATTGTTTCCTGATATTTTTTTTTAATTTTCGTACAGCGCACTACATTCGTGGTTTTTGTGAAATAGCACGTCCTGTATTTTTGCATGTTGATCTCTTCATTTTTCATGACATGTAAATTAAATTTTTATACGCGCATGATACCGGATAACAAACTGTCGACGAATTTTACAACTAATAACTTGTATTTCAATTATGCAAAAAATGGATTCCTAACAAGTAGAATTTATCGCACGTTCAACCATCTCGTTATCTTCCTTCCTATTATGATAACTTCTATTAGAGTTATGATCTTTATGAAACTACTTTCGCATTTAAAGTTTTCTCTCAAGAATTACGTGTTCAAGATATATATATATATATATATATATATATATATATATATATATATATATATATATATAACATAAACAGTATCAGAGTTCTCAGCCCTGATGATGCAAACTGCAACGTTTGCGAAACGTCGGCATATCGCTGATTCAAGACACAGCTCCATTCCGGAAGCTATACCTAGACATTGTATCAATGGCCGTGAAAGCCTCAAATCTAGTATATAACATAAATATAGAATACATATACATGTATATATGTATATATATTCAAGATATATAAAAAATTCTCAACTCTCCCTTTCTCTCTCTTTCTCGCGTGCAAGCTCTTTCGCCCTCTTTCTTTTTGCTCGTTTCGCGTCCGGCGCATTAGAGGGTGTCCTGGGCGTGAAGGTGTCCGTCATAATTTGCCACCCGGCGCATAATCCCCGTGACAAAGGCCGACAAAGTGACGGCTGTTACTTGGGCCGGCACACCGTATACTAGCTGCAGGGAATCCGG